ATGTGCGGCACCAGACAACCCCCGAATCCGAACCCGACCTACAAGAGGCTGAGGAAAGAATCGAAAGAGTCGAGAAAATGAAAGCTCCCGAGGATTACCGGCGGGCGACGAGACCGATCCGTTGCCGTTCATCTCCTCCATGCCGCTGCCGTTCTCCTCCATTCTTGCCCGCTTCTTCACGGAACTTCTCGCGGCCGGCCGGAGAGAGTGAGCGGGTAACGGAGAGAGAGAGGAGGCGGGATCTGATGCTCGCCGAGGAAATGAGGGAGAAGGGCAAGAAGACAAGGCGAAGTCGAAGGGGATCGGACTCGTGTTTCTTTATGCCTTATTTTGGCCTGCGGGTGGCGACAGCGAAGCACCCACGTGGTAGTAGAGTTCCTACGCGTTGGATAAAAAAGGAGACACCCCGCTTCGGACACCTGTCCGCAAATCGGGTCGGATCTCTAAACGGATTCGATAGCAAATTATTAATTCTCCTATTATCTATAATTATCATAAGATTGTTTAATTTTTCTATTATTTGTTTTGTTAATGAGTATCTCAAAAAATCAAAATTAATTAAAAATAGTAATATACTTGATATAATCTACAGAATTTTGTAAGAAAAGAAGTTTTCTAGATCTCGTGTCATTCCTAATCAAATGTTACAATACAAGTATATACACATGATGTTATAATTTGATTGTGAATTATGCTTGGGTGAAGGAATGATTATGAGTTTAATCATCGCTTATTTAATAACGAAAAACTTGCATGTACCAATTAGTCATTCATATGAGTAATTCATGGGTCGAAACACATTATGATGCTCATGTTCTTCCTGGCTCTCCTTCCTCCTCTTTTGTATCCCCCGTAAGCTCGTATCAAAAACCACGATTATGTGATCTGTTTAACCTACACAAATGTTGGTCCGAATAAATGGGAAGCAAAACATCATAGGATCGTATGTGATTGATCACTCATCGAGTTTCTTCGGATCGAAATGAGCATCCTTCCTATCGCAAATGCTACAATTGCAAATCCCCCCATAATTAGCTTCATCTCAATTGCAAATCCCCCTATAATTAACTTCATCTCAATCTCTGCATTGTTACTCGATGAAAATAACATTTTTTTTCTTTTTTATTCTTATTGAATCCCAATTTTTGATGATAAAATTAATTAATGAATTTATAAATTTATTAATTAATTTTATCTATGTATTCATATACATATATATATACATGTATATATGTGTATACATATACACACACACACACACACACACACATATATATATATATATATATATATATATATATATATATATATATATATATATATATATATATATATATATATATATATATTCACATTCGAATTGACTTTTGGATCAATTTATATTTGAATGTGAATATCTAAATTTTTTGGTCATAAAGATATTCACATTCAAATTCCTAAATTACAAATTTAGGATATCTAAAGTTTGGAAAGGATATATATAATAAATATATAATTTAAGAATTTGAGTGTAAAAGCAAGTACCTTTCTCAATCAATATTGTGATGTCTATTATTGGCTAGATTGAGCATTTGTCTTCTAATTGATTTATTTAGGTGTCTTGGACATCATCATCAAGCATGCTATTTTTGTAAAATTGGTTTTCAGGGAAGAACTAGCTTTATCAACTTAGTTTTCCTTAAAAATTTATGTGGATCGTAGTGTAATACTTATAATGCTTGTTGGTGGAATTCTCCTGTCATGGAAATTTAGTTATCCAAATTGAAAAGATGTTTAAATCAAACCTTTTTTTCTTAAGGTATGTAGCAGTGTATGTTCAGTTATTATACTATGTTCATGAATGAACATGCATTGATACACCAATGACTTGTCGCAATATGCCACTCAGGAAGAACATCAAAAAATGAGCATTCGAATTAAGAGTGTCGAACAATTTTCTGGTAAACTATCATTCTAATTCTTTCAATTATTAATTAGTTCACAATCTACAGACAGACATAGTTGTATCAGGAACAAGATTCATCACAAGTATAACATTGAGTAGCAGCGAGGAAAAAAGTAGGCTGTAATGCCCCTCCTGCTAATTAGATTATTCTGCAACTAGACTCTGAAAGTAGAGACCTTTTGACTATATTCATTAGCAAGTGGATCAAATCTACAAAGCCTTCAACTTAGGCTGTCTGAAACTTAACATGGAGAAGAACCACACACCACATGCACAATAATAATGCGAGTCGATGACGACAGCAATAACCTATCAGATTTTTTTCTGAGAAAAAATTGAAGAGACTTGTAGGCAAGAAGAAAAGCTAGACTGTGACAGCCTTGGATATGTTCCAACCAAAATGCCTCTGTTCACAAGAATAATAATCTTCAGTACATCCTTCCTTTTCAATCTCACATTGGAGATGGAGGGACGCCACCATTGATCCATCACTTCAATGTGACAACAAAGCAACCAAACTAAATGATACTTGGAAGGCAAGGCTCAAGAGCAGTGCTCCCACATGATGATGATAAACAAGCTCGAAACCACAGTGTACAATAACATCCAGAATAGCATGACAAGCCTTAAAAGCAAAGCATCATAAGCAGGTTTAGTTTTCCTTCTTAGCCAGTCTTCTCCTTGCTTCCAAGTAAGGATAGATCTTCTGGTACTCCAAGATAGCCCAGACTAGGTTCCTAAGAGAAAATTCAGGCCACAGCGGGTTTGGATTTTGCAAGTGGCTCAACGAAGTCTGCCAAAGAAGAAAATTACTCAGCCGAGCCTCCCCTGATGTCCTAATAACAATGTCAGGGTCTGGGCAATCAGCAGTGTCTAAGTTCTCCTCTAAATCAGCCACAGTAACATAACCGTTAATGTCCTCGCACACCGATTCACCGTCACAATTCACATACCCTTGTGTTCTGAAGCTCTTCCTCGCACACGATTTTTTGATGGCTCGCATGATCTCATTGGTGGAAGTATAGGCGACGCAGATCGAGAGAACTGGCCCAGTGTTATCGGCAGTGTGTGTCATTGCCTTCTCAGCTGCCAACCTTACCGGCTCACTCAACAGGTCCAGGCTTCCCCAGAAGTTGATCCTAAAACCATATTTTTGCACAATGCTATCCTCCTCTAACAACTCATCAATCTTTTCCTTCATCAGATCCATAAGCGACTGGACCTCCTCTGGTTTTCGCTTGAAGTTGTCAATACTGAAAGCATACACGGTCACATACTTCACGCCCATTTCATAACAGTATTGACAAATAGAGGTAAGAGTCGTGAATCCAACACCATGACCGGTGCCTTCTTTCACATTCCTTTGCTTGGCGTATCTCCGGTTCCCGTCCATGATGAATGCGATATGGTTGGGCATAGGACCAAGGGCGAGCACAAGAAAGAGGCACCTACGCAAGAAACGCCATACGCTTGCAAAGATGTTGGGTTCAGGTTTTCGACCATGCTTTTCCATTTCCAAATCCTAACATCCAGTAAAAAGGAATTATTAGAACTAAACAAATTTCAGGTACCTAAAAAGACAGACAGTCAAATTGTTCCCACCAAACCAAAAAGACAAGGAATTAGCAGACTTATTACGATCAAGGCAAGTATCACAAATCTAACTATCTAACGAAGGAACTTCGTCTCGATATGGATTTGGCAGTTGTGCATATATGGAAAGAAATAGAAGACTGTGGTCGCTTCATCGCCAAGGAAAAGATCATCAGACGGCCATAAATGGCTCCGATTTAAGATTCATGGTATGAACGACCGAGAAAGATGATTTGGGAAATTAGATCAAACCTTGGTCAGCGGATGTCAGCGAGGAGGGAAGACCTCCACGCCGGTCCTCTCCCACCTAGCTCCTGGAGCCGCGGCGGGCGTCGTCCCTCGGCCCCGCCTTCGGAGCCGCCGTCCGAGGTGCCAGCGACGAAGCCGGACCCGGTCGCGAGGTCGAAGAGAAGAAAGACGCGTGGACGCGGTGAGAAGTTGCCCGCCGCCGGAAGCGGGGGGAAGCGATGTGGATGGCGCGGCGGTGGGGTAGGGTTGACACACGGAGAGACAAAATGGAGCGGCATATAGAAGGGAACGGCTCCGGTCCAAATTAGGGCCTCCCTGTTTGGGCCTACAAGATTTATAATGGGCCAGCCCATTTAGAGCGAATCCATTTCTCCCTTTACACGCACTAAATAGTTTTATGGGGGAATAACAACAGATAGAGTAAGTACTCGAGAATTCCGTCTTACTCTGACCCAAACCTAAGAAACGACCTACACAAATCCTCATTCAAATACCCTCTCATTGCTATCTAATGCATTCCTTAAAAATACGAGTTAGTCTATAATAGTAACAGCTGGAACTCCATTTTATTATTATTAGAGAGAGAGAGAGAGAGAGAGCCTAAATGTTATTGGGTGAAACACTTATATAAGCTACATATGATGTAAGTCTATTATAGGGTGAAGTATAAACAAGAGCTTCAAAGTGATTGCTAACAAGAAGTCATCTTCTCTTCCTTTTATATGTGTTAATCAAAGTAAGCTATCATCAGCAGGGAACTTGTTGTTAAGTTGGATCATTTCATGCAACCACAAAAGACAAGAGACAAAGCAAACCCAGTCAAAATATACAGAGATTAGCTGAAGAGCAGAAGAAGAAGTAGAATTGCTTACTGGGAAAAGGAACGAGAGGAAGAGAAGAGAAGCATGTAGAAACAAAAGGCCATGAATGAAGAGGGCATACCTTTTCGACTTTGATGACCAAATTCCGGTGAGGAACGGACACACGAGGTAAGGTATGCATATAGCTGGGGATGGGGGGGGAAGACGGGTAGAGGATGATGACCTTTCAGAGAGAAAAGAGAGGCTAGAAAAAACATCAAGAGGAAAAAATAAAAAACATCAAGAGCTTAAGAATGTCATACCAAAATATAATCAAACTCTTTAAGATGGTTCTCATTTAGGGCTGAACAGGGCAAAAGTCAATTGGGGACAGCTAACGATCGGAAGAGAAATTAGAAAACAACAACAACAACTTGAGATAACTTTAAAAAGGGGATGGGAATGGCAGAGCATGAGTGATCTTGAAATCCAAGTCTTGGATCTACATGGAGTGCTCCACTCCAGCACCTGGTCCCACTAAAAGTCCATTCATGCAATGAACCATAAATAAATTCATGATTTGAGTATGCTTATTTACAATGGCACCAAGAAATGAAAGAGTTTGATTTTCCAGCGGGTATCTGAAACAAGATAATGCATGTCAAGGGTCAGGTTTTCCCACCACTTGCTCATCACTAGAATCATATTCATCTTCACTCAGCTCTTCCTCGCTTGATTCATCTTCAGGAGAAGCGCCTATGTCTTCAGGCTTTGCATATTTTTTACAGTATTCTGGACAATGAGGGAAAAACAGGAGCAATTAGAAACTGGAATACAAAAGATTGAAAAATCTTTAAAAACAACATAGAATAGCTAGTATTTTCAACAGCATAATTCAGTTTACATAGAAATTAAAAAAAAAAAACTGTAAAGGTATTTTGGTTCCGAATGAGATAAATAATGAGTCAAGACTAACATTAGATCCTCTATCACACTTCAGCAGCCAACATATATGCTGTCTCAATTTTGTTTCCTGCAGGTCCAGGAATTAGCCACTACTCTTATACAACTGATTTATTAGCAGAAATAAATCATGTCAAAAATAAATTAGTTTCAGAAATACAGATATGTCCAATGGTTCGCAAATTCTGGCAAGATAAACTGCTTTAGAATCTTCCGTCAACCCATTAAATATGCTAAATAACATGAAAATGAAAGCCAAATGTATTCACTACTTTCCTTTTGCACTGTATCATGCTATACTTCCACATGATACAGTCCGCTAATCCCTTGGCTGCATCGATGCTGCATGTAGCAACTAGATTCATGCTGCAAGAAAGCAGGAAAGTGGCGAATATAATAAAGTAACACTTAGGTTCTTTCCTATGAGAATGCTGAAAACCTGATGCAAATAAACGGGTTTAATTACTACACTGGTTAATGCTGATCCGATTCACAAATGATTGCTCCTAACTTAGACTGATTCATAAAGATAATGGAGAATAGACAAATTCTGATGATGAAATATTTCCAAATCATGAAGCTATTGTGGTCTGGTTGGGTAATATCTATATTTCTTTTCTTTAGGTGCACTAGGTGTAAGATTATTAGGTGAGGCACATGGCATTAATACCACACTCTGTATCCCTCAGTATTCTTTATCAACTTCAACAAATAAGAAAAAAGTTCTCAAAATTTCTACACCAACTTATATTAGAATGATTTACTTTTATTTTTTACAAAACCAAAAAAACACTGTCAAGACAAAACTAACATCTAAGCAACAGTGAAAGGAATAACTCAGCATCTACAACCAATGCCTGACCCAAGTAAATTTAAAATATTTGGAACAGAATTTGTAATATCAGAAGATCAAAACAGTTAAAATTGCTTTAGAAGATATGTTTTATTTGCTAAGTAGCATTTATTAGGAAAAAAGGAATGATACTACTTATACAAACTTCACAGGAAGAAATTAATATCTCATTGATTATTTGATTCATCAGATAAAGAATCAAATATTTTTTTAGCATACATACAATCGAAACAACCAACTTAGAAAAGGTGGAAATTTTTAATTGGTTAATTATTTTGGTTGCTTATTCTCCAAAACATCATTCCAACTTAACTTTTAACAACTCCACATCTGGTGGAAAGTTACAAGTAAAATTCTACTCCTTTTTCCTTATTGGTGAAGTAAAGCCAACAGTCAATTACTTTTCAACTATCTCTTGCCACCTTCACATATAATTAGATTGGCTTATATTGAAAATCACTTAATGCAACACTCTCCCCACGACATCTAATTTTCAGGTATGCCATTATCATTCTGGGTGTTACCAAGCTAGAACCTCACAGCCGGAAGACAAATAGTTGATGCAAAGATTTCAAATTATAATCCATCATCCTTGTAGTTCTGGCAACGCGATTTACTAGTTTACAAAAGAGGACCATTAATTTTACAATTCAGACACAAACACAGGACAGAAATTGCAAAGAATGAGCTTGTTTTATTTATACTTGTCACTATATAATTAGTTCTTTTGGATCTGGATCCTCACTCTCAGTTTATCCTTTTAACCTCATAGGCTCATACGCTACCTCATTTTGATACATTCTAACATATTCACTAGAAACAGATACATCTGGACCCTCACTCTCAGTTTATCCTTCTAACCTCATATGCTACCTCATTTTGATACATTCCAACATATTCACTAGAAACAGATACACAAGAGCAAGCTTCCGACAGATGCAGTACAGTGCAATAAATAAACACCAAACTGATGGGAGAAAACCACCTAATTGGGCAACTTTTTTCTCTCTATCAAAATGAAGTCCCTAGATTCATGTGCACAAAATGTTTGTATAGGACTCTGTTAGGAGACTGTTGCAGACTGCTATCATCTTACAGATGATGGAAAGAACCTAAAAAGTGCACAGATGAGAGATAAAACAAGCATGAAATATGTAGAATCTATAAACATATACATTAAGCTAAAAAAAATCCATCACCTTTCACTTTTTGTTCATAAGCAGGTCGATCACGCATCATTAGTGCTGCAGCCTCCCCGTTCAATGGATCTGAAGGATTTGGATATAAAAGAAGTTGTGGAAGGAAAACTTCGAATACATTGACAAGATCTGACAGAAAAATAGCAGATCATTAACTTCCAACAGACAGAATTGGCTAATTGTCAGCTATCACAGATTGCATTATATGCCAATTATCAATTTAACGGATGAAAATGATAAGGGGTAAGTTATATTACCAAACATGGGACTCCAAGTTTGGTTGATGACATCCAAACAAACTGAACCAGACCTGCAAATTTGGCAGGCTAAATATGTGAAATCTTAATATTCAGAGTTTGTCTAAATCATTGTCAGTGGGTAACAAAAAGTGACAGGAAGTGGAAGAATATATTTTACTGGAAAAATGAAACAAGATAAAATTGCACTCGAACACTCACATTTCATCTACATTAGGATGATATATCTTATTAACAAAGCCAATTGATGGAGATTTGTAAGGATAAGCATCTGGCAGTTCCACCCTCACCCTCCACACTCCTCCTTGATAAAGACCTGTAATGTCAACAATTAAACAAGAAACCCTCTTACTTTACCACCAGCGAGTCCAACAAAAGTAAACGAAATGATCAAGTATCGAGAGGCAAAAAAATAGTTCCACTAAAATATCAAATATAAAACACTAGCGATCAAATATAAAGGGCTGCATGGCCAATCTAATCATTTTCAATAACTAATCCAAAAATCACAATCGCACACATTAATGCTAAAATTTTAACCTCTAAATCTCATTGCAACAGCCAAAATGGAACCAAAGTTGAGCAAGCAGTTGAGGTGATATGACCTACAGAAACTAGTAAATCAAATATCAAACATGTCAAAACCAAAATACAAGCTCTCTTTCTGATTAACAAGGAAATGTTAAAAGGGAAAGAAAAAGAGATGAAAGCCTCAACAAAACAAATAGTACCAACTCGCTGCTACTCTCCAACATCTAAAACCGACAAGACACTAATCAAGAAAGGGAACCAAAACAAGCAATACAGAGTGCCGACTCCTAATAATAATAAAAAATCAGATCGTCAAGCAAAAAAGGAACCCGAGGGAGGAACAAATAGCGGATGGGATTACTCTCGCTCGGGCCATGGAAATCCACAAAGAATTCTTGTATCCCATCGTTAACCGTCTCCACCTTGTAGTCACTCATCATCCTGCCCACCACAGGAAACAAGAACATGATCAGGGCAAACGAAACGAAACAATATCATCGCATCAAGGTCGCGTTCTTTTTTTTTGTCTGGGGAGATCTACAGTTTCATCAGGTCCATCTCGCGGCGCTTGCTCGGGGACGACATCTTGATCCCGCTCCGAAGGGATCGACAGGAATCAAGAAATGAGATCGGAGCTGCGGGGGGTATAAAAATCGTTCTGTCTCGGTCTGCTTTCTCCTCTTTCGCAAGGAGGGGGGTGGGGGGGCGGATGACGAGGGGAAAGGGGTTAGAGAAGGACAGGGCGAAAGAAATAAGAAAAAAAAACGAAGGAGTGCTGTATTTGTAATTTGCTGGGATTCCTCTCGCAAAACCCACCGGCTTTTGGAATTATATTTCTTAGGTTCCCATCGCTTTCTTCACCGCCCTCTTCCTCATTTATTTTTATTCTTGGAATGATTGCATATCTCCCACCACAAAACCATTGATTTACACATTCATCCCTCTAAATTGAATTCTATAAATTGGGTGTTTTATATTTAACCATTTATTTTTACTTACCTTTTTATAATTCCTTTTTACACATATGTATACCCTTATAGTACTTGTATTTGTATATGTATTCTTTCAAAATTTATATACGCACTAATATCCTCATTAAAGCAACATATACGGATGTTGATCCGAAACCAAAAATTAAAATATTAGTCCGACACCAATATTATAGGGTTACCAACATGTATCACCAAAAAAAAAATGAAGAATTGTATATTAGATTGTACCAAAACATATGAAGTGTTATAAATTCGATACAAAAAAAACCTTATATAAGTCATTCAACAATGTAAAACTTATATATATCTAGGCTTAGAAGGTTGTTTATAGGCCTAATTAGGGGTGAAAAGAGATTATCTTTTTTTAGAAAGAGAGAAGGTAGAATATATTTATAAATTTAAAAGGGTGGAAATGTTAATATATATTGTTGAGGGAATATATTTATATATACATATACATGTCAATAAGGAAAATTATGTGATTTTACTAATTGTCATGTTTATGTAAATAATGGGTTTGTTACTATTTTCTTTTTTTACCTGTTGGCTGTGTGAAAATGAGGTAGATTTTTGGAGTTTGGGATGCCAAATTTAATGCTCGACTCCTTAGGCTATAACAGTTTAACGTGACATTTTAACCACTATAATCTTGAAACCTAATGCCCAACTGTTTAACAATGTAAAATGTGAGAATAGTCAGGATAGACAATCGTATCTTACAAGCAAAAAGATTTTAGCAATTATGATTTGGAGGAAAAAAAATTATGTCTTAATCGATTAATTATACAATAAAATGGTAGCAAATTTTGTAATTTGATTGTAATTATGAACGTTGAATGAAGCGTTCATTCTTTTATGCATTCTGTTGAACGACCATCAAATTTTGCAGAATTGAATTATGCAGTTGTTTATTGGTTTCCTTTTACTTCATGTGAAAAAGAGGGTAATAATAATAATAATAATAATTCCTCACTTACGATGCACCAGAGCCGTTGGATCCGCAGGCATCTCTTCCATCCGTCATTCGAGGTATGTGCTTTTGCAAGCGAGACATCTAAATGCTTCACCTCTCTTCATGAGGTGGGTGTTCTTTGAGCACTTAAATCTTTGATCTGTGGCAGGAGAACAATCTCATGAATCACACCTGCTAAGCATATCGAGAATAAAAAAGAACAGCATAACTCATTGATTGAATGTACCAGATCACAAGGTAGGTTTTGTTCTTCTAAAGGAGGATTGAATTGGATGGGTCGACATCCCCATTCAAACCTAAATTGCAGGCTTGGAAAAGAAAATTCAGATGCTTGAATTTGTAGTCAAAAGAGCATGAGAAACATTCAACTTCATCAACAGCTACTGTAACTGATAAGAGAATTTGGCATCCTGTCCACTCTATTATGTATCAACATTTCCCACGAATACCATGAGAGATTTCATTGCAATAGGGTATTCAGTGAACACAGCTGATGTTGAACCATGTATCATCCAAGTCAAGCTTCACTTAAATCATTGGGGGGCATTTATATTCTGATTGGACAACAAAGATTCAATATGATAGCTGTACTGAATTTGCTGTAGGTGAAGCCATCAATTCCAATAGATACTATCCAAAGTCAAACATCCAATTGATCCAACTGGACCCAAACTATTTATATTCAGTGTAATAGCTATCAACAGTCATCACGATCGGTGGACGAGAAGAATTTTCTCATATGATTGGCCAAGTCAGTTCTTGATAGTGTGTCCTTGAAAGCTTTTTCTTCTTCCTCTGTCCAGGAAAGTGCAACTTAAGCAGGATCCAGCTCACATTTCAAGTGGAGCTATTTCTCTGGGATGTAATACAATTAAAGGAGCCTGGCCAGTCACACTGACAGCTATCCTGCCTCTCTCTTCCAACATGAACACAGTACAATAAAGGACAGCTTTGTTAATGTTCAGGAGGCCGAGTCTATCTACTCAGCCATTTTAATATACCAGAATCAGTAGAAAATACTATAGGCTGGCCAGTCAAAATTGACAATGCTTCTCGAAAACATGCACCCTCAAGGATCTGGACTCGTATCCTAGAAAGCCACACAGCAGGTTGAAGTGTTTGATTCCTTTTTTATTGCTTTGGCCTGCCTGGTGGAACCAGTAATAGTCTCGTATATGGGAAGTCTGTATCTTCTGTACTTCTTGCGGTACCTGGTATGATTATGCTGTGTGTTTTCCATTGTACCTCAATAAAGAAATTTATCATAAAGCAGAATAGATTATTGGCCACATATGCACCTAAGAACGCAAATAAAGTCCAACTTATGTGACTTATTAAGCATGAAGTTCAAACATTATAATCTACATTATAGAATGCAGTAAAATAAGTTCCACTGGGACCTCCTTCAGGCCAAAAGAAAGAAGTTAGGAAACAATTATAGACCAGCTTATAGTTGAAAGTTACCACTCAAGGCATTGTTTCACCAATCATAAATTATATCACCAATATCATAGAGTCGATCACAATTGGAAATGCTTTCTATTACTAGATGTAATCTGCTTGTTCTTTTAAAACTTGAGGATTCTGGACATAATGATATCCTAGTGGCAAATGACAGATGACGACTTCACTATTTCTTATCGAATTGCTAATATTATTAGACAGCTCTAGAGGATAGAGAAATCAAGTGATGCACATAATTTGTGCTCCATCCAAAATATCCAGTATATTTAGAAAAGGGTATCAAAGCCACCGCCACATAAACAGAGATATCATATCCTCAAGCCTATTTGATAAGTGCTTGATTAATGGTGTTGTCATATACTTGAAGTAATACTAATTCAAAATACGTGATGCTAAAAAATAAGATGCATTTCTCAAATTTATGTTTACCACCTAAATAGGCAATCTAATATAAGAGAAAACACAAAAGCACTGGAAAATTGCAAGTCCTCTGTTGTGCAAACAAAATGGAGAGATATTGATTCTTATTGAAAAGTAAGTAGGAATTGACCTCTTGAAGCTCTCGCTTGTCTGGTAGTCAAAACCTTGTCTTAGCAAAAGAAGATACATAGAGCATGGTCCTTGAAAGGATGAATGAGAAGGATAGTCACTCTTTCTTGCTAGGTGCTATGTCATTATAAACAGTTGCTTTCTGATGGTGCTAATACAACATACAAAGGAGACACCCATAGCATCTATCACATAATGTGTGTTGAGGACCAAATAGAGATTGAAAGTGTTGGCCACTTTCTACATGCTTATCAAAACCTAATTACAGGGAGTATTCATGTATTGAATGACAATTTTTATCAGTATCTACCAATTTGAAGCAGTGAATCAAGTAAGAATGTAAGGCAGAAACAGGAAAACGGTTTAATTTTTGAGAACCAAACCTCACAAGTCATTAGGCATGCTTTAAATGAAAACTGAAAAGCAGAATGGGATTTACTTGTTTGTTAAAATGATTCTGCAATGCATGTTCTGAGTCCATATCTAAGTTCCTCAGATTTGAGGTCAACATGACTTTGTAATTGTTTAATCCGTTTCCAACTTCTTGGTTGTTAGCACTTCAATTTATATAAACCATATGACGCTCTTACAGAACTTGCACGAAAAAAGAAAGAAAAGGTACCTGTAAATGTGACAGGTTAGCGCTTGTTCTTGGAGTTCTTCTGAAGAGCATTTCCTGTCCATACAAAAGTAAGTGCATGTGAATAGAGCTCCCCAGTTGAATAAGCCTCACCTCTTCTGGTACGTTAATGCTTCTGCAACGGAAGGATTTCTAGGATCCCTTGCCAATTCTCTCACCAAACTCATGATCTATCCCCTTATGATGGCTAAGCCCTCAATTAACGATGCATTTTCCCAAGATCATGACATCGTCATCATCTCTCCCAAGAAATGGTTGTAACTGAAGGCCGTGGAGGCTCACAATCTTCGTCGCGATTTGGAGATCTGCACTGGTTTCTTGCCCAATTATTTTCCAGCTTCAATGACGACTCCAAACCCTACTGCCTCAGCCACTGACCGCTATGCGTGCTTGGTCTTTCTATCACCACTTCGCGGCAGCCTTTTGCTTGTACTACAGAGAAGGGCTTGAACGAATCGACGAACAGGACATCGGCGAGTATGGTCGGATCGCTCCTCTCTTATGGATCTCGGTTGCAGAATGCCAACGGGCTCTAACCGAAGAGACCGCCAAGGCTCTCGCCGTGGCCATGTCGGAGGCATCTCAAGAGCCGGCACTTGGGGGCTTGCGAAGGATGTCAACGACGGAAACGATGGGGGCAGCCGCAGAGGCAGAACACCGAAAAATCTTAAGATGTGGGTCATGAATCAAGAAAAGGGGGCACATGGAATTGTTCGAGGAGCGAGATGTAGTAAGTCGATAAGAAAGGGGCTATTTCGGAAAAGTACTCGTTTAAACCGTCTCCAACGACTTTTCCCGCCATGAGAAGCTATGCTTCTATTTGAGTATCACTTCTTATGCACCTATACGGACTCACCCACCCTTGTCGACCGCGTAATGACAGGCTGAGATATACGGGTCCCGCTAGTGCGAGGCTTCAGCCATTGCTTCAGTTGGCTGCTTGTTGATTGGTGCGACGCAGCTGATGAGATTTATACTTGAACGTCTCGGCTTGGTCAATGTGTGGTAGGAAACCGATCCCGGTTCGATTTTACGGTCGGTGATTTGGTTAAAGGTGGACGGGATTTTAACAAAGATAAGTGTTACAGAATACGAAAATATTCTTTTTCTAAAACAAAACTGGACGTTTGGCTTATTGTTGGGATCTAAATCTGTATCAGAGATAGAAATCCAATTTAATTGATGTTTGGTTCATGTAGATGAATTAAAATCAAGAACCAAGTCAATACTAAATGATGTAGCAATAGATAACACAATTTAATTGATTTTATAATATTTTTATTCATCAGTAAAATATATGAGCATGCATGCTATTCCTGTGTGTAGTAAGGATAACCTTTCCCACCCATATAGTTTTTCTGTGAATGGAGCTTTAACTATATAAAAAAAATATATGATAATGTAGAATTATCAAATATTTTTACCGGTCTCAATGATGATAAAATATTCATGTAACTAATCCTAAGTAATTGAGACTTAGGACTTTGAAAAATTAGGGAATAGGAGCAATGATATAACTTTGAAAAAACTAATCATCTACCATAAACATAAATAGCAGCAGTGGAGCAGACAAAAATTCCAACTTAGAGCTCTTGAAAACAAAGTACACAGTGAAAAGGCATTGATTATAGTTATACATCATATTATATTAGGCCTGTCAAACTATAATCACCATGTGTTTAACTTTATCCTGATCACTAAGAGGATCTGAACAACATTTTAGTCTTTAGAGTTTAAACTTCATGTAACGTCTAGCCTTTTCCACCAAGTAGGATTGAGATGCAATCTTATTAAGAAGCAGCACAATGAGGTTTCCAACTTATGTGCTTAGGATGATCTCAAGCCAACCACTACAATAACAGGGCATGCAAATTATATTACCGCGTGGAATTGCGAGTGGGGCATATTATCACCCATTCACCTCAAACTGCAAAAATTTTCCTCACTTTCTTCATCTTCCTCCGGCAGATGGGACATATGCCAGCCTCACCCAATATCCTGCATGATCAAGATATACTTGATCAGTCCCTGGTAGTTCATTTCTGAATTTGATGGAAATTATTAACTTCAAGGCAACGGCATAACCATTTCAATGAATTTGTAATAACATTACCTTGTCCCACATGTAAAGCACATGGCACAGTGTCCACAAGGAAGAAAGAAACAATCCCTCGGAGCATCACAACAGATGGCGCAGAGCTCCTGGGAGTTGTTGATTTCCCCATCTTTAAGCAACTCTGGTCCTGTTGCAGGCTGCTCTTCAATATCTTCCTCATCATGGGAAACAGATTCATAGGATGATCCTAAGCTCTGACTGTCATCATCCTTGTTAGCAAGCAGAGGACGCCTCTCGGTTGTCACCTCTGCTGTTTGATGAGTAGTATTTTCTTGAGTGTCACACCGTAGACTGCTAAATATTTGGAACGCCATGAAAATCATTAGAGTCATCAGACCTACACCAGCCAAAAAAAAAAATCACTGAAGAATAACTACAGAATAATAGAAAGTTAGATAGGCAAGTAGGTAGATACAGTTACCTGATCCTGCAAAATAAGTAATCCACCGGGGCCCATATGACAGCTTAACATACCATTCACTAATCTGCATAGTCTAATGAGATGATGCATTAGTACCTCTGAACAAGAAGTTTCATGTGGCATTTCCAGTGATGAAACAACATGTTCGCACTTAAGAACCAACTCATAAGATCACTTATGATCTACTAAACAAATCTAGCACATCAAGGGATCATGGTACTTATAATTTTTCCCCTTGGCAGGAAAGTAATTCATCATTTGAAACTGCATGCACTGATCAGGGGTCATAGATTCCAGGTTGCAATTAAAGGGCATAGGTGACCGTTAACCACCCCTTCAAGTTTATAAACAATGAAAAAAATAGAGGGAGAGAGACACAGCAACAAGTACTACTTTTATCCAAAAACACTTTCAGTTGGCATCCTGAACAAAATCAGCAGCCATATCTTGCACGGGATTAGCTATGATTAGTTAAGCACAACTTAGACTAAGAGCTAAATGAGTTTGTGAAAAATTCAAAAAATAAAGAACACGAACTGTGAAACAATTTGGTATTCTGTGAAGAAAGCTCTAATGTAATGCCAGGGAAATACCATGAGTGGATCCTCCAAACAACTGTTGTTAGAACTAATATGTAGGATGTGGAGCCATTTCATCTAATAAATAAATATATTGTTTCTTAATTAGCTTTTCCAATAAGATAGGGAAAATCATGAGTTATATGCCATCAAGAAATAACAAATGAAAAATCTTTAATTCAGTTCGTAAGGTTGACACTTTTAAAATTATATATGGATGTAGCTATGACTTGCAATTGCTTAGTCAAAATATACAAAACATCAGATTTCCTCTTCAGTCTATTGAACAATAAATTTAAAGCCACAGAAAAGTTGGATGATAATGAGACTGGTAAGAGCTACATGCTATCTTATGTTTTTAAATTATTTTAATTCTAACGTTCATGAGCAAATCCTCTGTACGAACATCATAATCAATCAGTTGATGTTAGATGCATGACTTGGGCACTTGAAGCACTTCAGGTCTGTATTCATTTGAATTTCCTTCAATATGCAAATGGAAAATGACTATTCTTGGAAGGAAGCATCTATATGCATAAGAAAAAAAGTCAAATGGTGAGGCTTTTACTGGGTCTGGGGCTGGAGTTGTTAGAATTGCAACATTGGCCCTTTGTAAGGACAACTTCAAAGCACAGAACCTCTGATGTAGTGAACATTTGTAATATGCCCCAGTTGTATTGTACAAGACTGCCTGGATTCTGAAGGTTAGTTGAACCTGTTTCAAGAAACCAATGTTTGAGGAAAAATAATTCAAGATATACACTGAGATTAATATAGATGGAAAAAGCAGAAAACTAAAGTGAACTCATCACGAAGTTTCACACTATTGCTAATGTGCATCATATTCAATTTTATGTTTCAAATAACTATCAAAACAGATGCAATTCAAGTACAACAAAGAATTAGGGATTAAGTACTGATAGATCAAGAATAGCTGTGAAACATAGATGCAGTTAAGTTAGCTTGACCTATCTTAAAGTTGTGATGCTAATACCACACACACCAGCTGCCTTGGTTCCTGGTAAATATATTTTCTTTGTCACGATGTCTTTTGTTAACATTGAAAGAGAAAAAAACTTAAAATTTCTCCTCTCCACTTAAATATAACTTAACACAAATTTATTGGTTTAATTTCATTGACTTGATTAAATATTTTAGCCATTTCCTAGCTGTTTCACCTATTTCTTTTATTTAACGATTATTTTAATTTTAGGATGGTTTAACCATTTCCTTTTTTATGACTGTTTTTGTTTTATGTCCCTAAAACAGTTATGAAATAAAAGGTCTATATGTTGAAGCCCAATGACTTGGATTTTGTTGCAATTTTTTTATCATGCTATATTGATTTTGTTGCTCAGAGCTGAAAAACTTCATTAAGTCTCTCCATGAATGAGAGAGAGAGAGATAGAGAGAGAGAGAATTTTCATTGAACTGCCTGATTTCATAAAGCATACAATCCTGGAGTGCAAAATCACCTAATATGCGATTTGCGGTTGGATGGACCTGATAAAAATTTTAATCTTTGGAACTCATGGGGGTGTTAACAGTTAAGATTGAGAAAAAATGTGGTATAAGTAGTCAGAATTAAAATAAGTTGAACATAAAGATTGAAAGGCCACGATACCTACAGAATTATCTGCCTAGCAATTTGAAGGAACTTAATCCTCATAATTTCAAGAACACTGCAGAAATGCAGTAATTGTCTAGGGTCAAACTGATGCTAGAGTGATATCCCTCTCCACTTGCAAGATTTTCCTGCTTCTCAAGTGAATGCACAGAATTTACCCATGCTCAAACTGCTCAAAAGCACCAATGCAGGAAAAACAATTTGCTCATTCAAGCCCTCAAGTACAAGCTGACAAAAATTGCAGTAAGAAACAAGGACACTAGTAGAATCCACAAATCTATGATAAAATATTTCACTAGAGTAAAGCATGATACTCTCCAGACTAAACTGTGATAATTCATAATTCATTGAGTGCTATTATGAAAAGAAAAAAAAAAGTTAGCAAATGCAATATGTACCTGGATTTCTATGTTGTTCAAATTACCCACAGCAATATAATAATCAGAAGGCTTGTCAATAGTCTGCTGAATTTTTCCATTACCTGTATTTGAATTGTCAAATTCAATCAACTTTCTAACTCCATCAGAAAGTTCTTAATGTCATTGCTTAAGAGCCTTACCATGTATGAGTGACCATGACAGTGTTATATTAGGATGTGATGGTCGCTCAATCCATTGAACAAGGTCGTCCTTGCCTAAAACAAAAGTATTGGCCATTAGATCAGGGTGCTTGATCAGAATTTGCTTCAACGTGAAGAACAGTAAATATAACTGCAATAATATATCTATTTTCTACTGAGACAGTAATTAGAAGGTGAATATAATTGAAAAATGGTATCCATGTGACTCTCCAATCTGCCTAAAACAAGGTAGATCCATTTATAAGCCATATAGATTTATAAAATGTGACTGATCATTAAGTTACATTTATCAATTACACTCTAGAAATGATTGTAGATGATTGTGTTACACAGACCGACTCAAATTTCAGCTGTTTCCCTTTGTTATGACTAAATATAAGATCATATTACCAGGACAATAACAATCTAATATGGTGCCTAACAACAATATCTTTTCCTAAATGAAAGAATAGCTGGGATATTAAGGCTTGTTCTCGTTGTTTACTAGAAAATGATGCATAAAACAACAATGCTATTTTATAATTACCTGATCGTGATTCAATGTTACTAACATCATGAGGGGACAAATGCCCGATCTTTGTACACGAAGGACATCTTTAGATATTAACAAGTGTCATCAAACATGCAATTATTCATGGCCAAAAGCAAGAGGATGAGGATGTTTCAGAACTTTTCTTTTCTTGTGAAGGTATCAAAGGAATAAAAAGAGTGAAAAAAGAAGTTCATGCAACTAAATTTTCTATCAGCTCCTACAAGGGTTCAAAAAGATATTCTTAAACCCTAGTCACCTGAAGCTTGGGATCTTCCTATGAAATCTACAAAAATGAGGTGGTTGCATTCCTCCTGCAGCTTCAGGGGTTGGTATCCTAGTGCTGTGGTTCATGGCACTTCATAGTTACTAAAGAATAGATGACACTATTTACCAAGAGACGAAAAACTTTTCTCTGGGAGTGATTTGTGGTCATGAACTCATGATATTAAAGATATCATATTAAATTGTTGACCTTCCAGCCCGTTTGCTTCTGGATAACTAATAATAGCTCCTTATCATCCATTTTCCACTTTGGAGAACATTAATCCACATGTTTGAATTCAGTAGGTGTCATGGCCTTTTATACTAAATCCTAACAAAAATCTGAGCCACACAATTGTAAGCTTCGCTGGTTAAACTTGTGTTATTGAGATAAAAGACAAGATGCTAATCACCTTGTGCGATGACGAGGATCAATGGGTATGTGCCATGTGATTTCACGCTGTAAGTAATCTCGACTTGAGCACCCTCGTTGAGATAGTATATCCATTCCTGCATCATGTAACCCACACTCTCCTGTTATTGAAACAAGCATGTGGAAAGCAATTATAAGCCTAAAGAAACATCCATCGAGTCTTGCCTGGTGGAAGTTGGATGGCATGGACACGTTTCGGTTCTCCGACCACGTCGTCAATACGTCGAGCGGCGGAGGCTCAAGAAACCCATACAGCGTCGGGAAGAGCCTCAACCCCTCTTCCGCTTTAACCTGCAAAAAGCACGATGTAAACCATCGAAGCGGGGCATCGAGGCGAAGGATCTGGTGCCTGCCGACCTGTATATCCTGCACGAACCATGAATTGGCCCGCAGAATCCGGGATGAATTCGGGCCCAAGACGAGGTTGGAGGAGCCATAGAAACCGAGGATCAACGTCATGGAGGCTGCCGGCTCAGAACATCAGTACCATCCTCGTAGAGGATCATGATTTAGGCAACAATCGCAAAGATGGGCGTACCGAAGAACCAGAATGTGAGGAGGATGACCAGGCAGGACCACGCGTCGTCTCTCGCCTGCCGTGAAGAGGCATCGGTGATCGAGATGCCGATGCGATAGGAGATGCTTGGACGCCGAGGAGGAGGCGGAGGCGGCGATGGTTGCGAGGAGGAAGAGGGAGAAAGAGGGCGAAGAGAGGGGGAAGAAGAAGGGGGGAGCAAGAGGAGCGTCGGGGCGTCCATGTGGAGAGAAGTGGCTCAGTGAAAGCAGATTGAGCGGCCATGGAGGAGGGAACCAGAAAGAAGGGGCGGAAGAACGGCCAGTCAAAGCGGCCAACGCCCCGTCTCCTCCTTTCAACGGACCGAGAACGTTAGTTATAGTTTCTCCGGGTCGGGTTATCTAAGGGTGGCTCCGGACCCGAATCCTACAGTATCGGGTGGGCATTTCTCAAACCCGTTTCTTGACCTCATACGTATTCATACACTCAAGTCATATATAGTCCAAATCAAATAGAGTCTATAAAGCATAAATATTACATGTAACATCACTCATCTTACATCATTAGTCTTGTTCTTACATGCTTGTGGATCATAGGAGAGACAAACTTATAAAAAAACTAAGAAGAAAGAATTAGAGTTTTTTAGAAGAAAGAAAAAGACCTCTATTTTTTTCTTCCTTCTTTTATTTATTTTATATTTTTTTTATTTTGTTTCTTTCTCTTTAAATTTCTTCTTCTATCATTTTTTATAGTTAGTTCTTTAAATTTTTTAGTGGTTAGTATGTCATTGTATGATTGATATGTATCATGTTCGAATTTATATCAGTTAGTTTTATCTTAATGGCTAGTGTATGATATGTATCATGTTCGAATTTATATGAAAGCGTTTCGTATATAATTTAATATGATAAAAATAAATAAAAATCGATATAATTTTTTCACTGGATAGATCTTCGTAAATGAGTATAGATGTAAATTTTAGTCACTATATTGGAGAATCTTTTTATTTTTAGTATGAATTCTCTTAATTCACATTGTAAGTAAAACTCCTAAGGTTAGAAGAACTTGTGAAAAAAATAATTTTTTCTTCGGATTGGGTGACTTATTTAATTTTCACAAGTAAAACTAGAAATAGTTTTTCATATCCAAACAAAAGGCTTTTATGGGAAAAAAAGGAAAAAAAAATTGACACATTTCAAAGTTATTGACTGCTCAATTCAGTTGTCATTAGCAGCTGAACCTTTTTTTTTTTGGCATCAGCTATGAGACTGAACAGATAAGTCCAATGATCCTCACAAAAAAGTACAAAACTAAATAAAATAGAACATGACCTTCAAACTTCCAGATTGGAAGTAGAACACTTCAATGTGGCAAATCCATGACCATCAAATAAGCATTATAGCCCTCAGAATTCTTGACTCAGAATGCTCTGAAACCACTCCTCATATCCACAGGGAAGCTTCCTCAACATTGCTTTACGCTTCAAAACTCCAGAATGTGTTAGAAAATTCTGCGGGACCTCAGATGTGATGGGTGGCAAAAGAGCAGGAATTATAGTTTGGAACACATCAAGGGGAATGTAGGGTTTGCTGCATAACAATTTTGCGTGTGTTCAAAGAACCAGCTGTTTGAGATACTGACATGATAAGAGTTCTGTTCTATGATTGACATACTGATGGTAATCTTATCAGAACAGTGGTAGCTCCGCTTGCATGCTAAGTCCTGTCAATCTATTTTAGAAGTGAAAATATAGATTCTCTGATGAGCTTACATTTCTTTTGGACAGATGGTTTGAGATATCAATGTTGATATAAAGACCAAGAATTATCATCATATGCCTAACTTGTGCAATATGATGATGAATTTAAATGAGATCTTGTCAGCATTGCTCATGAACAACTGATGCAAAAGTTTCACATACAAACTCTAAGAACAACTGCAATGAATTAGACACTGTGTGGGTATCATCTGATTCTGTTTCTTCATCATCAGAAGCAGTGGACTCACATGGAACACTCAGTAACATTTCTACATCTTCCCTGTTTGCAAAGTAAGCCCATCTCCAACACTTGCTCTGCATGTTTCATTCATTCACGCAGCACATTTCCCAGCCAGAATCCAAGCCTTCCTAAGTATTACTCTTGCTCTACAAAGAGAGAGAGAGAGAGAGAGAGAGAGTACAGAATCTCATGCTCTTTGAATGAAGCTTTGTTGACAGTCCATGTAAAAGTGCAGTGCATATAACCCTTCAAGCACAACTCAGGTTAATTCTATACTGTGCCAAATTAGTACACCACTTCATATCTGAATACCAAACAAATATCCTTCATGATCATGTTCTAATCTGCTAGTCCAAGTATATCCCAAGCATCTTCCCTTGGGATGAAGGAGAACAAGATGGGTGACTTTTGCTTACTTCCACGGATTTGTAGTTCCTCAAACATTAGTTTAAGATGGAGTTCTCTCCATGCACGCATGGAGGCATAAGTCTGTGACTTTGACTAACGGAACTCCTTGAGTTTTGTCCCTGTGCTTCAAGGAACAGTGACACTATCCACTGCACCAACAGTTTCTTGTGAAGGCTCTGAGCCATACTGTGCTTGTCTACCCACCCATGCGTGATCCAGAAAGCAGAAAGCAATGTCAGCTTTGAGACTTGAGAAAGGAGAAGTTGGCTTCTCATGGCTCTTTAAAGGTAACCCTCTTGTAGTTTCCTGCGAGGAGTTCTGTCCGAGCTTTGACTTGTGCTATGTGTTGAAGTTATTTAGCCACAACATTGGACCACCTTCTTTAGATTCATTTTGGAGAGATTGGTCAAAAATGTGGAGCTTGACTTTTTTTTCTTGTACCTTCGTTTGAAGGTCATCTATCAGCACACAGCTCTCTTGTTCTTCCTTCCCAACTTGCTTGAACATTTTCTCACTTGTCTCTCATGTTTTGCTTGTGCAGGTTTAGTTCGCTTGGTGAAGGAAGTAAGCTTCAAAGATACAGAGTGTGGCTTAAGCATGTCTTTGTGGAAATCGTGGCTGCTGTAGTCAAAAGTTGTGGATCTTGTTTCCCAACACAGCTTTGTCAAAGATATTGAGATCGTTTTGACTCTTGATTAATCATCTCACCATGTTTCTGTTCATGAAGGCACTGATGAAAAATCAAAACATTCTTCCGATTTGTCTTTTCGATTGCAAATGTTCTCACAGCCTACACTATGATGCCGAAATGATGCAAGCAATCTTTAAGCTTAAAGTCGTATAAACATATCGACAGTGTTTCGTCAATCATTTGAGATGGAGGCAGAGATGAAAAGTCAACCACGCTTCCTCCTTTGACAAATTATTGTAAGAGATTGATATGATATATAGAATGGTTTTTTTTGTCTCTGCATGATTGATATGAGATAGAATGATTGACTTGCATTTCTCTGCATTTTTTGTCTCTGTATATCTCTTCCATGTACACATAAGGAATCCAAGTTTTAGATTAATTATTATAAAAAAATGATATGAGATACTAATAAATGACTTGCATTTCTTTGCATTATTAATCAAAGTAACATATATAAACATCTTCAATCAGCTATGATCCGAGTTGGTGTCAATAACTCCATGGGATATTCTTCTATTGTTCCTGTGGACTTTGATACAGATATGATTTGTAAGATCACACAGGCTTCAGGAACACAATAATATATTATAATTACTAGTTGTATTCACTGACTGCCGACTGCCGTGTAAACAAATGCATTGGTCGTATCTGAGAAAACTGGAAGGATACAGACAACTTAACCAAAGTGTTCTTCATGAGAAGAGTTGATCAAAGAGTATATCTTCTATTTATATAAACTTGTATTGTCATTGTTTAATCTTCCATAGTTGAACATACACATAATAAATACTATGCTTAATCTCGCTGGTCCATTACACGAAACTATTGGCGTGGCTGCACAGAGAAAGCGAGAGAGAAGAGAAGCTTTAGCAACAAATAATCTGTGTCTCCATTTTTGATGTTTCAAGAAACGCGCCAATTGGGAAATGGCAATCACTACTTCCGCCACTATGGAAGGTGGGTAGTCAAAGATAGACGGCCGTCCAATATCCAATCCTCGATATGACTAAAATACCCCTCCCGACTTCCAAACGTGAAGTGTATAGGTCAACTTCGAATACGCAAAATGACTAAAATACCCCCGTCCTGAGGAAGCACGCAAGCAACGTGGGAACAGAGATGAGCTGTTTTCTTTTGTGGGCCCCTTCTCCTCGCAAGCACGGGGAAGCGTTGACCGCCGCGTACGCAAGCGAATATACCCGGAGATGCCTTCGCCCCCGCGAGTCCCGATGCCAATTAATACCTCCCTCCTCCCACCTTCGACTTCCACTGCTCTCCCCTCTCCGGCTGTCTGCAACCTGACCTCGGCTTCATCTCCTCCTCCTCCTCCTCCCCCTCCTCTTACGGAGAAGGTCGTTGAACGTCTCCCACGTACGTCCCTTGCTGACACTCTTGTGTCCAGATGTACTCCATGCAGAGAGTCTTTTCTGATGATTTTAGTCAAGTTAAATCGCATGGAGTTTTGATCACCATTTCATGATCTTAGTTCATGTCTGTTTTGTGGCTTTATGACCTCTCTCCCTCTCTTTTGTGTTTTTGAGTAGTCAACGATGGTGCCCTGACGAGAATATTCCTCATTGTTGTTTCTGGATTCTACCTTTTGAGGAGGAATCCCTGACCCTTCGACCGCCCAACTTTGTGGTTCTCCTCTTCTACATGCTTTTTCCCTTCGAAGGGTGTTGTTACGGTGTCTGTGACGGGATGTTGGGAACTCTTTCTGCTTGTCTTTCTGGCTCGTGTCTGCTGTGTTGATTTGATTTCTGAAACAGAGAGGAATTTTCTGAAGGATTTCATTATGAATTCTAAACGAACACCGGTTTCTGATTCCGAGTCGAACAAGTAGACGTAGTTCTACGCCATTTAGGAATCGTTTTGTACTGATGCGACGTGCTACCACTACTTGCAGTTGCATGTGTTGAGAAGGAAGTAGGAAGGAGGACGAAGCGCGGCAACAATGGCAGGAGATCAGCTCCAAGTCCTCAATGCTCTGGATGTCGCCAAGACGCAGTGGTACCACTTCACGGCCATAGTCATCGCCGGCATGGGCTTCTTCACCGACGCCTACGACCTCTTCTGCATCTCCCTCGTCACCAAGCTCCTCGGTCGCATCTACTACTTCGACCCCAGCTCGGCGTCGCCCGGGACGCTCCCGCCCAACGTGGCTGCCGCTGTGAATGGTG